CTTCTTTTCTTAGTACTAGTCTACATATAATTTTTGGCTAGAGATTATCTGCATCAAAGTAAACAGCATTAAGAATTAGTTCATTCCAGTACTGCTAATAAATAGTTACTTTTATTATCAAAACAAATGTAAATGTAAAGGGGCACTACACATGGTCATTTCAAACACCATGCTTTAATATGTGTTTTGAAACTTTCTGTGCTATATTTTATCTACATGCTGGATGTGCCTTTAATAAAATAATACTTTTAAGAAAATTGATGACAAGTGTCACCTACATTTTATATTCATTGCTCTCTTCGAACTGTGTTTAATTTAAAGCTTTTATACGAATGAGAAGTTACGAAATAGCAGAGTAATCTAAGTGGCAGCCCAGGGGCTGACCCCGAGCAGTGGCACACTTCAATCCTGCCTGTCATCTTTTCCCAGGGGTGATGAGGAATCGCTTTTGGAATAGCAAGCGCAGCCTGGACCGTGCCAGCCCCCTTCCCAACCAGAGTCCAGCACAGATAATTGCTGCCCTGCTGCTGTCAGGAAGGCGAGGAGCCGGTGGGTTCCTCCCAGAATCCGGTGGCAGGCTCAGGAGAAGAGCAGAGTGGCAGCATTTGGGAGGGCTGTGCATGCCAGGAGCTGTGTACTGGGATGGCAAGGAGGAAAAGGAAGGGAAGGGATCGTTGCATGTGAAGGAGGTGGACGGCAGTGGCTTGCAAGACCGTCATCTGGTCCTTAGGCCACTGAGTTTCGGCCACTTTGACTTACATTTTAATAGTGTTTTCAAGATACATCACATTCAGAAATGTTTTCTGTGCTCTTCTTTCTAAAAATGACAGGCAACCATATAATATATGTTCCTTTTTTCCATCTTCATTTCAGAGGTTTTGTAAGAGATTTAACCAATTAGATGTGTTTTTAATAAACAAATCTAGAGGCTCATATTTCTTTTCTTTTGTCTTTAAAGTTGGAATGCTGTCCTACAGACAATTGAAAACAGCATAGTCCTAATAGATTAAATCTGGTTGCACGAGTTTTAAAAAACAAATTTTGGCTCTTGTTATCAGCAGAAACAAATTAGTATGTAGAAAACAAAGAAAATATGTAAATGCTAGCATAGAGCTTGACTCTAATTAGCATAAAGGATCCTCTCAAACGCTTTTGAAAAATTTTACTATACTTGTGCTGTGTTTCTAAGAAGATTTGGAACTTTTAATTGGGCTTTTTTAAAAAAAGTGTATGGTTAATTTAAAAATCTGGCATTCTGATCTGTAATAACCCACATGTAAAAGAGAACAGCACTGTTAGAAAAGATGCTGCTTAGCTTGGTTCCCGCAGATTTGGACTTGCCACACTGAATTCAGCCGTTCAAAAAACTGCAGCCTGAAGACCACTGGTGGTTCCCCAATCCACAGAACCACACCGAATACAATTTTAAGTTAAAAATCTGATGATAACATTGTAGCCCCTGATAAATGTGCAGGATGAATAGTGGTCCATTGATCTAAAAGGTTTGGGAAATACTATTCTAATCTATGTGTTTAGCTAAGGTTAGCTTTCAGATTTTAGCACATTTAGTAGGGAGCTGAGCTGAACCCAAACTGGCTAAAGTATTTTTTTTCCCCCTAAAACTGGAATGGAACTGAACCGTTCTTTTGAAGTTTTGTTGAACTTGGACCAGAACCGAACTGGAACAACTTTAGTCAGAGCTGAACCCAAACAGAATTGAAATGAAGTTTAAGGGTTTTATTGCTTGGATGTAAGGCAACACCTGTGCGCATCCTTATCCTGTAGCTTCAGGGTAAACTCGGAGCATAACCAACTGTTGATTTGTATTGATAAAGACAAAACACTACTTTACAGTTTCCACTCAAATTATATCAAAAGGAAACATCAGATTTTCCCTTTAATCAGACTTAGACCTCTGCTGTTATCCTCATCCTTCCTAAGCTTATCTATTTTCTTTTCGCCATTTCTTTCTTTGCATCACGTCTCTGTTTAGACTGTAAGCAAAGACATGATTAAATGCTGGCTATACTTAAAACAGCAAGACTGTAACCGTTTACTTCAGTGGGAACCAGAGTTGCTCTGTACATACCCATATGTTTTGTTAACTTTCTAAGATCTCCTTGGACCACATAAAACAAATAACCATAATTGCCTGATCTGCCAAAAAGATACAGTAAATGCAAGTGATGCAATTGCTTGTATTTATTTTCTATTTTAAAATGTAGGTACATTATCTGGTATTAAGTGCAGCTGTCAGGATCACAGTGATGTGATACTGTAATTCTCCAAGCTGGTCACTCCAATTCTAGATATAACACAGTTCCTTAGATTGTGACTATATCTGGAAAAAAAAAAAGAAAAGAAATTGGAAGTAAGAAATATTAGAAATTAAGAAAGGAAATTTTCAGGAGCCATGCGTTCTGTGCTAAAGAATGATCATATAGATGGTTTGCAGTGTCCTCTGTCAGTATGCATCGCTTACAGATGTTGCACTTTCTCACAGCCAGTATTACAAACTTTCCATAAGGTATAAAAATTTAAGAACACCTCAGTTGTACTTTGGTTACAACAGCAGCATACTTCCTTTCAGTTAGAATTGCTGATGATGACTTACTTGTGTGGTTTCCAGTTTATCTTGTTAATGTCTTAGTTAATATTATGTTAATGCCTGAGTGAAACAACCAATAGCGGCATTTAAAATTTTTATGTCTACGTTCCTAGAAGACTAACACATGTGCCCGAGGCCAAAATATTTACCTTGCTTTAATGGATGTGTTGGAATGAGATACCATTTATCAGTTATCTAAAAGCAATTTCAATCCCTTGTATCAAATTATTTATCTGGAAATAATCCTAACAAAATAGGTATGGTCAATTAAGCTAAAATATTGCCTAAATTGCTAAAATTGCCTAACAGATAGCATTTCTGCAGAAACTGTCCATATACTAAGTTATATATAATTTCTTTAAACATTTCTTAAGGCTAGTGTACATCAAACTTTGCCTTTTAGACTCACATTCTGTGTCCACATAAATTCTCAGCTTTGTTGTTAAACACTGGAAAAATCAAAGAAAAGGGATATAAGCTCTCTAAGTGTCACTAAATGCATCTCCTTATGCAAAACCCTGAAGGTAAATAAAATACTGAAGAAATGCAGCATACTACCTCTACCAACAATACTTTCAGTTATATTTCTCCATGGCAAATATTTCCTGGGTACGATATCTAACAAAGGCACGTAAAGGTTTCCATAAATAACTTCAAATATGCTTAAATCTATATGAGCAGTCTAAACCGAATGTACAAATAGAATTCACATGGTGGCAACGTTTCTAGCAGCAGCTGCAGCAGCCACCTTTTCTGTTTTCCGAAGGGTTGGCATTAGCAAGTCGACCAGACCACAGCCAGCTCGCTGTGGCTGCCTGCTACTTCAAGGTAGCGCGTTCCAGCTCCACAGGATCTTTTTTCCTTCGTTGCTATTGCCGTCACCAGACACTAAAGAGCTGACATCACTGAAATCCATGTGACGCCTGACACCTACACTACGTTGGAAAAAAGTTCTACAGTGATACGTGATAGGAAATGACACTGCATCATTGCAATAGATCTATGAATCAGAGTTTTCTCTCTTCTGTAGTACTTTGGTTTCAAATATTCGTATAAAATGAGCTATTGAAAGGCATGTTTTCATATCCAACAATACACGAATAAAACGATGAGAACATATTGGACTGTGCATAGCACAAGGAATGTGGTAAAAACAGGCTGGACTTTACCTAACTGTTTTTCAGATATGAAAGTTTCATTTTTAGGCTGCTCAGCTAAAAGTAACGAAACCAAGTATATACAGCATTCAGCATGCTACTGCGGTGTATTTGAGGTAACACCAGCATCTGAGTGAGGTTTGGCTTAGTATATACTTGCAAATAAGAACCAGTATCCATAACGAGTAGCGAGATCACCTGTTTCTAATGTCGTGAAAACTCCTTTTTTTGTAAGCTTAGCTTTATTTTAGCTATAACGCTTCCATTTTCTGAAGAACGCCCAGACGGTGACAGTAGCAGGTATTCGAGATGTGAACTCCTGGAAGCGAGCCTTCCTCACGGAAATACCGCCTCGTCACAGAGCTGCTAGCACGGGAGCCTGAGCCCTTGTTTTACCCTAGCTGTTAATGCTGGTTGCAAGCCCACTCTCCTAACTCTTGTTCCCGTCCGAAAAACAAAAGCCAAGCCCTCGAGGCAAACAAACGGCTCCTGCCGAGAGACCCGCTGGCTCCGCTGCCACCTCGCCTTTCCAAAAAGATAAAAAAAAAAACCCAAAATCAAAAAATATGGCCTCTACAAGCACAAACAGCGGAGCCGCGCAGCCCTCCCCCGCGCCTGGCCGACTAACGGCCGGACTAACCGACTTAACGGGCGGACCAC